TCTAATTACATCATATGAACCCAGACACCCCCCTCTTCCTTCCCCGGTGCACAGACCTGCTGCAGCTGTCTCTGCTGCTCGGCCAGCTGTGTGTCCATCTTGGCTATGACCTCTTTGAGTCGAGTTCTCTCCTCGACCATGTCCCTCTGCTGCTGACTCAGACGCTCCTGCAACACTGAGACATACACACACACACACACACACACACACACACACACACACAGTGCTCATGATCAAAGTCACTTCCTCACCTCATACGCTGCATTCAACTAAGACTGACTATGGAAAAACAAAAAGAAAACGCCCCTTAAATCTGAATTCCTGATCAGAAACTTGAGAGGGTCTCCTCAACCCCGAGTTCAGCAAGTGACGTCAAATCAACATGGCTGCTCACGGCATCAAGGAGGTAAATATATACATCACTCATCACAGTTAGCTGGCTAGCTTGTTTCTGACAAAAGGCGAATTTGTTTGAAATTGTGTTTTTCCCTGCTTTGTAGCTTGAACGAATGCACGGAGATAAAAAAAAAAATTATGTATTTCTGACTTCTGAGGTAAGTCGAATTCAAGTAGGGGGCGTGGCTTTATATATTTATAAATGACATTGGACATGGGTGATGACATTGGTTAGTATTTCAATTGTATATTTATTTCGTGTGTGTATGTGTGTGTGTGTGTTGTACCTCGCAGTTGTTCATCTCTCTGTCGAGCTCCGAGCTCCAGACCCTGAGTCGTGTTTTCATGAGTGCTCTCGATACGAGACGAGAGATCACCCAACCTGAGAGAGAACTGCTCCATCTGCTCGATAACCGCCATCAGGGACCTACACACACACACACACACACACACACACACACACACACACACACACGTCATTGTGTAGCTTACGCATTTTGTGAAATAGGTGGTGTGTTATAAATGAAACGTGTTAGAAATGAATCATTCTAGTATTAATCACTCAGTTCTGTGTCAGAAATACACCAGAGTTAGCCAGAGTTAGCGGTGTTAGCTTGCTAGTTAGCCGCCAGGTTGTATAGTTTATATTTAATAAGTGAGAA